CAAATACTTACTGCAAGGTTTCAGTTTTATACCTTTAGATAGTTCTACCGTTTGTTTAAGCATTTTAAAATTTATATGCCCTAAACGTCTGTATAACAAATGTATGCACTCATCATGAGGTTTAACATTATTATAAACTGTGTTAGCTACCTCTAATGAATTATCATTTAACACATACAATTCACCTTTTAAAGTTGCAGTAACTTTTTTACCTTCTTTTTCAATTATGCAATTGTCTCCCCTAAAGGTAATTACATAACCTAGTTTAACCAAAACTCTAACTGAAAGCAAATTAAACTTAAGCTGTGGTACATATAACATTTTTACATTTTCTCTTATGCAAGAACAATATGCTATACCTTCACCTTTAGCTTTAAGTTTCCATCCATTAGCTAACGATATCTGCTGTGAACTCATGGACATCTTAACAAATCTTTTCTTATCTTTCGTTATGCAGTGCGATGCTCCACTATCTACCACCCATAAATTATTATTCACAGTTTCGTTGCTATACATGGCTAACTCAAAGCATTTTTTATCCTTTTGATGCCTTTTAGCATTCTGGCTGGCATTTTGGCTTTTTCCTTTCTTGCAGAATCTAGCCAAATGTCCTTTTCCTCCACAATTAAAACATTTTCTAATTGTATACGCTGACGAAGATATTTTCTCTTCTTCACATTGTGGTTGTTCCCTTCTGAGTTGATCCCTTTCAAGCCTTCTCCTGGCTTCTTCAATTAATCTGCCAGTAATGTCAGTTAATGTAAGGTTATCTTTTGGCAGAACTTCAAGTGAAGTTACATAGTCATCATAGCTCTCATCTAGAGAAGACAAAATGATATAAACTTGGTGTAATTCAGTGAAGATAAGTTCTTTTTCATGCAGTTCTTGAAAAATTCTCTTCATAGAGTTTATATGACTCAGCATGTCTCCATTCTTTTGAAGATGTGTTTTAAACAGTTTCCGTGTAAGATTTATATGTGCTCCTACACTGTCTCGAACATAAATCTTCTTTAAATTCTCCCAACATTTCGCAGCTGTTTCTTCTCCATGAATATGTACAAGCTGCTGGTCAGAGAGTCTCAGTCCTATTATACAGAGAGCTTGCTCATTGTTCACTTTATATTCTTGTATTTTCTGGGCATCATCCTCATCTTCCGGATCCCATGCATCTACTTCTGGTGGGTTTTGAATTATACTCCACAAACCTTCTCTTCGTAGAAGTAGGCTGCATTTCATAGACCATGAAACATAGTTTGTTCCATCCAGTTTGGATATGAGAGACAAACTTTGTAAATTGACTTGTGCCATCTTTATCTGGATATGAAACTATAATTAATAAAACACAGCTGTCTGTTTACAGTATTGTGTAACTACACAAACTCTCACTTTATATAAGCCTGGTTAGTCTGACTGTGCACCTGGGCCCATAACCAGTGTTAGGGATGTACACCCAAGCAGAACGTGCAACGGCAATCTAGCAGGCAGGCAGATATGTGAGACAAAACGTTGTAGTAGCTTACACTCAGTAAGACAGATACACTGTGCAAGTTAAATAGTTTTTATTCCAGCAAGAGTTATAGAATAGTCAAACAGTCCATATGTCATACACTAAGTTCAGTCAGTCCGGGGGTTATTCAGTTTGCAAAGTCCAGTGTCGAAAAAGAGGTCGTTAAACTTACAATCAATCAGTCCAGTGATATATCACTTTTGCAGTCAGAGATATGAAGAAAAATCAAACTCCTTTTCTTCTCTCAGCAAACACGCAGTTATCACCATCAATCTATCATTGTCAGCATTCCAGTAAAAGCCAGCAAACAGTGAGCTCTCTTGCTCCCTCTTATGGTGATTTTACAACCGCACCCAAAATACTTGGTTTACAGTTTAAAGTGATACATACACTTAAACTCACTAACATAGTTTATATATATTATTTTTACCCAAACTAAGTTAGGTAACCAATGTTATCCCTAACAGAACTATAAAACAATTACTCCTACCAAGATCCCAGGAAAAGATCCCAATCTCAAGAGACAGGATTCAAACACTATAATAAACTCATCACAAATCAAAGACTTTAAGGATTCACACGTAAAAATCAAAGACTTCACATTCAAATCAAAGGACCTGAAGGGTATAAGAAAGGGGTTTTTCTACTTACAAAATTAGATTAGTCTGAGGAACGCTGTTCTTACTGCCTTCCTATTAATTAGGCTGAAAAACAGCTTCTATCCCAGGGCAGTAGCTCTTTTGAATTCTGCTGTATAGTGCAGTGTTGGTTTCTGGTTTGATGTGTGAAGGGTGAAGGATGTGTGTTTGTGTTTATTTTCATGATCATGGTCATGATGTGCACTGAAGATAGTGTTTGATTTTGTTGTATGAGGTGCAATGACAATAAACTAAACTAAACTATTAATAAACTGATTCTGGCTTCCAATGCAGCTTTTGCAAGTGAATGTCCCAGCTGGAAAAAATTTGAATTCACAAAGGGGAGAGCTCTGCCTTTTTCTTAAAGGGAAAGGCTCCCTTTTCCTTTCAACACACCAATATGATATTTCTGCAACTTCTGAAACCTTCATTTCCAAAGATAACCTCACTTAAGGACAGGTTAGTGATTGTTCAGAGTTATGACAAATGAGACTTACAAGTGGACCTTGCACTACGACTATTGCTGCACCCTCAAAGTCCAGCTATCCAGATTCAGGTACTTTGCAACTGGTGGGCATTTACGATTGTTGCAATGTCACATGGTAATGACTGCCATCTGCATACTTCACAACAGGCTTCTGACAGAGTCAATGGCAAAGCCAGCTGTAAAATTGCAAATCACAGTCACCTGACTACTTGCTTTAAAGACTGTGGATGATTGGCTTAGTGACCACAGCAGAAGCTGTTGCAAGTCCGTTGCAGTTGGATGATGATTCACTTAAGAACCACATTGCTTAGTGATGGATTTGCTAGTCCCAACCATGATTGCTAAGTGAAGACAGCAGCAGAATAGTATAGCAAGGCAGTTTGGCCATAGCAGCATCTGAGCTAATCAGGGCTTTTGTTTTTATGTGAGGAATGGATTTTTATTAGCCTGAGGGCTCTGTCACCAATTGCACATTTTTTGCAATACTTCTATTGATCAGTCTGAGTTGATTAGTATATTATGCAAACGTAGCCAAACCTTTGCCAAATCTGTTCTCTCTAGCCAAGCCTCTCAGTTGCTATTACTTTGAAGTTGTCTTCTTAAACAGCAACCCAGCTCTGCTGACTACATGGACACACATCTTTAAAAATACGGAAATACTTTGCTGTAGCTTTCTTCAACATTTTTGTGATTTCAGGGCTGTCCTTCCAAACGTTACCGGCTTTGAGCCCAAACACCTTCGACTGAGTAGCACCAGCTACTGTTTAAAAAGCCTATTACTGTACAAAGCACAAGGCGTCGCCCTTTAACGACTCTTGTCTCCCATTGGTCCCAACGCTTCTATGTCTCCTTCTAGAGAAACAAATGCTCCACCATTTCCCCTTATTCCAATTCAGTGAATTCATTGGATACAACTCAAAACAACCCGCCTTGAAAGTACCTTATTGGCCAAGCCAAGCCAAGCCAAAAAAAAAAAAAAAAAACACCCTCCGGCGAGATTCTCATTGGATACACCCGCCCCCAAGCGAATTTTGATTGGCGAGGTTGAACTGTCAACAGAAGAAAAGTGGTGGCGCCTATGCTAGCTACGATAGGCTGTTAACGCTGGTCCGGTGTCGTGCGGCGAGCAGATTCTCTGTCTCGAACGGGGTGGGGGGGGGAGAGAACGGCGCGTGAGGGTCCCCTGGCCTTCCCACCCACCCACCGTCTTCCTCGGAGTGCGCGTGCGCGTCCCCTATTCACCGGTACGCCGAGATCCTTTCCACGAGGGCGCCCGCCGGGAGGAGCTGCTGCAGCGGCATCTATCCAACTCCGCTCAGACTGGGTAAGAAGAGCCGCACGTCTCAATTTGTTGGGGTTTCCTTTCCGTTCGGACACTGGGAAGGAGCAGGGCGGCGAGGAGGGCTGTTGCGGGTGGGAGAGGAGTAGTAGCAACAGCTGCCCGCCCTGGGGTGGGCAGACCCGTATGGCTTGCTTGACCAATGTTGCAAGTGCCGCGCGTAGAGGAGAGAGAGCAACTGTCTTCAATTCTGTGCGTGTGGAGTACAAACCCAGTTCATCCCTAGCTAGCATGAGCAGGAGTGATGAGACAACTGAGAGCGGCAGTTTGGGGATAAGACCCTAGGATTTTGCATGTTGAGGAAGAGGACGGGTAGCGTTTGAGAAGAATTCAGCATTAAATTGGCAGGATGGCAGAAGATATATAGGATGGGACTGTGCCTATTGATCCCAGCAGGCGTCTGGCAATTGCCAATCCAAGTATTTCTCGAATACTTCGGGGCTTTCTTGGGGAAATGAGTTATTGATATGGCTAATTTTTTTGCGGGGGTGTGTGTGTGTGTGTCTATTTTTTCTTAGTAAAAAGTAGAGGAGTGAAGGGTCGCCATTTGGGTGTATGAACTAATATGGATTTGTATCTGGTTGGGGGATGCAGTGGACTTTGAAAAGTAGAAAAGTTAGAGGTTAGAATATGATATTTAGGGTTGTGGGTGGCTTACCTGGTATTGTCATGCTGGCTGAGAGTGATGGGAACTATAATTCAATACATCTGGGGAACTTCAGGGTTAGATAAAATAGGTTAGAAGGGAAGGATTAACAATGATAGTAACTGTGACAAAGAAATGGAGCAGGAAGGAGGGAAGGTTGGATAAATGTGTCATTTTAGAGGAGGGGAGGGTTGCAATTCCATGAAAAAGAAAAGCTTGTATCAGTTAACAGAGATTGGATTGGGTCTAATATTACTTTTAGGTAGAACAAGCTGTGTTTGTGCCAGGAAAAATGGCTTTCCAGCCTGATGTGGGAATGCAGTAAGGATATTTCAGTGTTTTGTTCAAGACATTGCACGAGTAAGGAAAGAAATGGGGAAAATATGTCTCATTATTTTGCAGATTCCCCAATCCTTCACACCATGCAAGTGGCTGAGGATGCCCGCACCCATTTGGAGGATGAACTGCTCTGTGAGTTACATGCAAAATTATTTTCAACACCTTCGGAGTATCTGCAGACCATTTCTTTTAACAGAGAACTCCACAGTATTTACTAGAGTAGTGTATTTATTCACTAGTGTCTCAGTGATTGAATAACATCACCAAATTACCCATGAAATTACCCATATTGTATGGGGGGGGGGGCAAAAACAAGAACAGTCATGTTTTGAAAACCACCCCTGACTTATGATTGAGTTTAGGTGAGTGGTTAGTTTGCACACTTGCTAGTTCTGCTTTTGCATCATCTCTAGGTAATGATGGGGAGGGGAATAGTTGGGCTGTGTAGACTTTGAAGATGTGGAAAAAATACAACATTCACGTGAGCATAACATCACTCTGCTGTTAAAGCAGAATGACATTTTGGCAAGTTTGAAAACAAAATGCAGTTTTATTAATTAGCACATTAACAAATGAAGTGACTCTTTAAAGCAGTTATTTTTTCAGACTTGCATTACAATCATGATTTGTTCTTTAAATGACTAGAAGAGAGATGCTGTGCTTGTATGAGATCTGAGTCATTTTTTTTGTTCATTTTAAAAAAATGAACAAAAAGTTCACAATCTTATACATATATGCTGACAAATACAGAGTTATTTATTTGCCCTGTACAAAATAAAGTGGGTAACAAATGACAATGCTTCCCGTACATGGGATATACAAAGTATATAGGAGCCATAGTCCGTCTTTTTCTATCCTTTAGATATGCCAGGAATTCTGAGAATTATAGTTTTAACAGATAGAGAAGGCTTACAGGTAAAGAATGCCAGCAGAGAATGAGGGAATGGAGCATAATGAGTTTAGGACATCCTTCAAGTACCATCTTATATGGTTATAAGCAGGAAGCTATCCCTAAACAGCCTCAAGTTGATGCACAAGATATATTCTCCTTCCCAAGATTTTCTAAGGGTAAGTTTGGTTTTAGGCCATTTCCTTTTCCAAATCTTCTGTAAAATCAGGTGATCTGGCAGACATCATCCAACAGGATCCTCTTGAAATCTAGTGAAAATTTGCATTTGTTTGTTTCCTAAATCAGGCATAGTCTTTCCTGTCTGTTCACCATGGCTCTGCTGCTTAGATTAATAGTTTTAAGATGGTGAGGAACTTACCAGCAATTGAGGGGTACACATTTCAAAAATTTTAAATGGTCAGCTGAAAGTTGGGATGAAGAAAATAGCGATGAAGCTAAGTCTTTCCTATGCTAAATCTAGAAGACTGAAACATTTTGTTCCTTATTTTATGCAAGAAAATGAGAAATCATAACTCAGCATTTAATAGGCCACAGACTGCTGACCTATGATTTAAAGGAGAAACATCCAGAAAAAGTAGGTATTGTAAGTATATACTTTAATAGTCTTATAGCATCCCCAGATTGTACTGTATGATGTAATGTCTTTGCTATTTTTGAGCTTGTCCCAGCACACAGAACACTTCAAGACCTCATTTTTATACCTATCTTTTTTTCTCTTACAGTCTGTGAAGTCTGTCGTCTTTATTTCCATGACTCCTGCCCACAACATGGACCCCCCACTTTTGTGGCTAACACACCTGTTCCAGAAAGAGCTCCATCACGGGCACTGCTGTCCCTGCCTGAGGGACTTTTGATCAAGAAGCGTTCCCAAGGAGGCTTAGGAGTATGGAGTGCACTCCCAACCTTACCTTGTGGCTGCATCTTTGGGCCTTATGAGGGGAAAGTGGTCCGAGAACTTAGTGACTGCACCCTTTACTCTTGGGCGGTAAGGCACACCCAGATACACAACACGCCAACCAGTCCACCACATTATACAACTCTTAGTGAATATGGTTAGATAATACATGAATTTTTTTCCTGAATTTCGGAATTGTTGACTAATGAAAACGATTTGTCCATTTTTTTCTTGGCTTTGTTTGTCTCAGTTCAGTTATTCCTCAACGTATGACCAGTTGCTGAGCTCCTATTTGATATTATAAAAGACACCTCAATTCCTTACTTACAGCCCAGTTCCAATAGCTTCCCCCTGTGATCACAAGACACTTCAGGTACATTTATGACTGCAGCATCCTGTAGTCACATGACCATCATTTAAAATGTTTTTGCCAAAACCTAGCATTTACTTCTGGTCTTCAGCAAAAACACAATTGGTTTGCTTAATGACTGTGGCATTCATTAACAATTGTAGATTAATTTAATGACCAGAATGTGTCACTTAACAAGTGCCAGAAAAAAAAAAATGTAATACTTTAGTATTACATTAATATGTGATGACATGCTTTAAATTGTCATGACTGAGGACAGTAATGGCAGGCTCCAACGTGGTTATAAATTAAGGACTTCTTATATAAAAAATTGGGAGATGAATGGACTGGCACTTCTTGACAAGAACTTTATAGTATTGTGCAACTTCTCTTTCTTGTTCACAGAAGAATTCCAGGAGCTTCAGGTATCACTGACACCAATTTAATCTATGTTCACCTCACCCCTTTTTGACTTTAGTTTTACCTCAGCAATTTTTTTAAGGAAAAGAGACTAATCACATAATGTTTCACTATGAAAGTCATCTGGTAAAACTTTGAAAATCCTTTTATTTGAAAAAAAAATGTGTTCTTGGATAAAATGTGATTTCTATAAATGCCTTGTATTAAAAAATAGTATTTGGAAGTGGAAAGTAATATTGCCATTCTGGCTATAGGTGTGTGGGGTCTATTGCCAATTTGGATCCATCTCTTCCCAATTTACCCACTAGCTTTACTTCCTGCAGCAAGTGGCTTCAGTCATCCTCTAACTTTAGTTTCCCACAACCTTAACTGAGATATTGGAATGGAAAACAAGAGATTTACATGTGTTTCATAAAGAGTGTATCTAATTTTCTGCCACCAAAAGTGAACTACTGGTTTGTAACAGGAAATAGGAGTTAAGGGATTAGCCAATATTTCCAGAGCCCTCTCTCAAACCCAGATTTGGCCATGGAAATACAATAGCACTTAGATGTATATACTACTTCACAGTGCTTTATAGCTCTCTCTAAGTGGTTTACAGAGTCAGCATATTTCCCCCAACAATTTGGGTCCTCATTTTACTCACCTCAGAAGGATGGAAGGCTGAGTCAAACTTGAGCCTGGTGAGATTAGAACTGCCAAATTGCAGACAGCCGGCAGTCAGCAGAACTAGCCTGCAGTACTGCACTCTAACTACTGCACCACTGTGGCTGATAATGTGTGCGTTTACATAGATTATTCTTCGGGACATGCATTAAAGTTGAAATGTCCACAAGGAGATCGCTTTACAAACTGCCCTAAATTGGAGCTGATCAGTTCTTAATTGCAATCTAGTATGTTATCCACTACAAAAGAGATCCAGTGTGGCATCAAAGCTATTGTTGGACTTAAGCCAGAGAACTCCAGATTCAAATTCCTATACACAGGAAAGTGATCCTGAACCAGGCCTAATCACTTTAATAAGTTTTCATAGATTTTTTATGTGATGGATGATGTAGTTGAATGTGCTATAATGAACCCTTTGGTCAAAGTAAGGGATAAAGATATAAGAGTTTATCTTTTCTCCAAACTAACATTAGATCCAGAGATGCTGGGTTGCAATTGCCATCCATAGGCAGATGGCCAATGTGCTTGAAGATAATCAGGTTGAGGAAAGATCTCCCGCTGGCACTTTATATTGATTCTGTTATTCTGAACTGAGATTCCTTCTCCACTCCCAAGATTCTGTTCACACAACCCTCCCAAGAATCTGTAGTTCTTAATTTAATTTTCAAACTATCTGCAAAGGATTGTTTCAGACTTTGAGCAAAAATAACTTGTTTGTCTCTTAGCAGAAATGGGTAGAGAAAGAAATAGGTGTTTTAAAGACAGATGTACAAAAAGGTGTCAGGGAGAAAAATGCTGTTTTAGCTTGGAGTGTTTTTTATTGCTGCCTTTGGTCATGTCCTTTGCTTGCCCAGAGTCCCTATCAAATAATCCCTGCAGAGGAGGGAGGGAATCCATTGCTGTGCTACATGAAAAATGTTACTGCATTTTCAGCTTGTTTTCTTTTCAGCAGTAATCAATCAGTTTATGCAGGGAATAGACAAACCTAACTGTTCCTTCTTTTGTTGAAGGGAAGGGAAGGGAAGGAAGGAAGGAAGAGACAGGGCATAGAGGACTATTTTAAAATGGATGAGAGATAAAAATGAAAGTTTTTTTTTTACTTACTTATATTCTACCTCTTTTATTTTTGCTAATAATTAAAGATGTTTTAGTTTTAAGTTACTTTGTTCATACATTTTAAAACATGCACACACACTTTTATAATGACCATTCACATAGCCAAAGTGCCTCATTTAAAATAATATGCAAACAAAGCCTCTACTACTATTCTCATGTTTACATCCACACATAGTCATAGACACAGGTTAGGACAGGGTGGACCTAGACAGCTTGGAGGCTTAGTGGTGGTGGGTAGCAGATTTTAAGAGAGGATAAAGGGCCACGTTTGACTTCTTGGTGAGTTGTATGAAGCCCTTATGCTATACACCCAGAATTATGCAGCCCATAAGCCATTCTAGCTCCTTTTTGGTCTACTCAAAGCATATCCTGAAGGAAATAAACATTTGGGCCTCAAGGTATGAAATGGATCTCTTAAGCCCCAAAGCCTTCTGAAAATGGCTCTGTGCCTCTGGTATGGGCAGCTCAAAGTACCCATTTTGCCTGAAAATGTCAATGGCATCCCCTCTAATGACATCACCAGGCTACCAGCTTGTAGAGACTACCCCCAAAAAGTGATCAGCCTGACTTCCTAAGGGATCTTTTTTTCCAATTCTTTTCTTACCTTAGATTCTCAACAACCTCGGAAGACAGGAAGCTTCTGGGGAAGAGCAGGAATTTAACAGAGGAATCCTGCCAATCAAAGCACTTTCTACATATATTTCTCCTCTTTTTCTTTCTCTGTTTCATTTTTTTTTTTTCCCTTACCCTTTATAGAGTGAAAGAGACAATAGTCGCTTAGTGTCTTCTGCTTGGTTGCGTTGAGAATCATAAGAGTACACAACTTATTCTGGAAAAGAAGAAAAGAAGTTTGAGGATTTGAATCCGGGATTCCCAGTCCAAAGTTCATAGCTTTTCCTTTATACCACATTGCCACATTAAGTTTTATGTTTTCAGAGAAGTCCCTTCTTTCGTTGCCCCCCCCCCCCCCCCATTTAAAAATGTAGAATTCAAAAGGAAGAGGAGAGTTTTTTATAAGATGAAGAAGAAAATAAAAGGCAGGCAAATATGATTTTCCATTTAAACCAAACATTAGGAAACCCTGTCATGCTGTCTTGCAGTTGCCTTTTGAAGAGGGAGCTTGAAAAGATATACCAGATGGATATTAAGAATTGTATTGTATTGTCATTAGCAGGTCCACGCCCTTCCCCCCCCCTCCAAAAAAAAAAAATACTGCAAGCGTTCATGACAGTTCAGAAGGGGTGTTGGGGGGGAGGATGCTGACAAGTACCAACAATCTCATATTCCCAGATAGAAAACAATGGACTCTGATCAGTCATGATTTATGGCATTTCTTTCAAATAAGTACAGCTGTGAAGAAGGATTCAGGGATTGTGAGTAACAAATACAAAATCAATTTCCCCAATAAGCTGAGTGAGTAGACAAAAGCTCATAATGAAGTGAGGGGAGGGCTGAAATTCTGCTGGGTTCCAGTAATTGGTAGAACTTAATTTACAAAGGGTTCAGTGTTGCAATTGATTATCAATTGCAAGAACAAAATGGTTTCTTCCTCCCTTCCTCAAATTCACTATTGAGATTCTCTTGCCTGTGTTACATGTTCATTTGTATCTGCATATGTTGTGAGGACTTGGAGTGGTACAATTTGCTGAATGCTTGCACGCTGCCATTTCAGATCTACCTTTGCTTCCCTTGGCCACTACTCTGTGCATAGTTTTGTTGATGAACCTTGGTGTTGTAATAACACAAATATATATATAGTTCCTCTCAGCAGTCTGATTTCCCTATTTCTGCCTTAAGATGGAGTTTTTCAGATCCACTGCAGATGGCACTCTTTACCTCATGAGCCCTTTTTTTTTTAAACCTTGGCTGTTATCTACAACCAGCTTAAAATCCCAAACAATTTCTAAAATAAAGGCAGAACTTGTGGGATTGATTGGATCTTTCTATTCCTTCCATTCTTTCTTCAGGTTAAGAACAAAGGGTCCTATTTTTTCATTGATGCTTCTGATGATTCCATATCCAATTGGATGAGGTGAGCATCTTATCAGAGATACTCTGATAAGGGGAAATAAACACTGTTTCAATTTGTTATGACATCTGCAGAAACTGGGATCCATAAAACTTTGGCACCATCAGATAGCATAGAGAGAAAGCAAATAATAGTCAAATTGTCTTAAGATATTGCATATGATCTCACTTGAATCATGTGAGATGTTGGTGATTTATGAGAGAACATAGAGGGAAGAATAGGGATAAATGGGGTTTTAGTTTTTTTAATTGTCTACTAAATGAGAACTGGGCAGATTGAAAGAAATGGGAATGCTTAACTCTCATTTTGTTATACCCTTATTTTTATGGCAGAGTTACGGCATAAACCCACATATTTGCCTCAGCCTTGTGCCTTTAATCCAAATACTACCACATTTGTTCCTTGGGGACTCCTAAATGAGCCTAAAGAAGTTGCTTTCTTTGTCATAGGAGAGTCCTTAAATCCTAGGCCTGTAGTTCCCTTGAGACGTAATCTGCAATTACTGTTAGTATAAAAACCAAGAAATAAAATATGTTGCCTCCTCCAATTCTAGTGACTCATCATCCCTGTTCTCCATGCAGATATGTGGCATGTGCCTCCACTGAGCATGAGCAGAACCTAACTGTATTCCAATACCAGGGTTACATCTACTACCGGGTCTGCCAAATTATACCTGCTGACACAGAGCTGCTGGTCTGGATTGGAGAGGAATATGCTCGCACTGTAGGACTGCATTTGGGTAAGTGAAAGAGGAGAGGCGAAGAGAGCTAATGGCAAGCCCCCATGATTCTCTCCTTCTTAGCAGCCATTTAAGGTTTTCTAAAAAGAATCCGCCACCTGGGTTAAACAACTGAGGCCATGAGCACACCATATTTTGTACCATTCCCCCAAAGCAACACTGAACATTAAAATAAAAGCTGTTGCTGTATTTAGAATTAAATGTAGTTAATTTGATTGCTTTCCAGATCTGTACTTGATAACTTTCCCTATCATGTTAAAAGTCGCAATTTGGGCATTGATTTTGCCCCATCCTTGTAGGCTGCAAGTTGTGATACTGGACTTATCTCAACATTGCCAATTTAAAGATGTGTGGAGTTCAACTCCCATAACTCCCCATACTGGCTGGGGAACTCTGGGAGCTGAAGTTCAGACTTTTTCAGGTTGCCACAGTTGAGACCAGTGGTTATATTGTCTCAACTAAGACCAGTTAGTTGAGATAGAAGGTTTTTTATGCAATAAAACAAGAGGATCAACAGGAGTAGGATCAAAATATAGGGCTTGGCCAGGTCCAAATCTCTCACAAAATTGTGATTTTCCAAGAATAAAAAGTAAGCATATTTAGACACTCACAAAGTGAAAGAAACATACAAGATAGCAAGCTTTGATTCCGGTTTGTAGCAGCAACCACAGCATCACATTTTAGTAATGTGCATAGTAAATGTGCACATTTAGTAATGTGCAACATGGGATTTATTCCTCATCCCTTGACCAAAAAAAAAAAAAAGGAGTGGTCAGAGCTTAAATTTCCAAGTGGATGCAATATGGGCCATGGCAAACCCCAGCTTGGCAAGTGGGGAGACTAAAGGAGTAGAGTCAATGTTTTGTAATATACATGTGCGCACACATTCAAACAACAAAAGAAACAAAAAGTGAAACCAAATAAATAAATTTATCTATCTAGACCAGGGATCCCCAACCTTTTCGACGCCGCGG